AGATATAAATATATTATGTATATGAAATATAGATACGTAACTATTTTATCAATGATTTGAAATTTTGATGAATGATTTAATAGAATTATTTTATTAAATTGCACACGGAGGTTTCAATGGGTTTTTGTGTACCTACCGCTAGATAGCGTTAACAATACCAACAGTCAATATTGAGTAAAGAAAATAAACGGTGTGCATCGTGCTGCTCATAGAACCTTAACGCATATAACACTTTCGCAGTCATGCCCATGCGTATATATATCTATTAAAAGTATATCTATTAAAATTAATAACCATCAGAAATACTAACATTTTATATACCTATTATATAATTATTATAACATCAATTAAATACGGCTATACAATGGTTTTTACAATATAATAATTATTAAATTAATAATTTATCGTGTATCATTATTATTTAATCATAATCTGTTTATTGTTACAGCTGAAATTCGCGTTATGAAGAAACGAAGAACGCAGATACATCTTGTTACGTGCATATTTATAGTGCAACGTAGATCTGATTAAAACAATATAACTCATATGACTATGTATAACATAGGTAAATACATGGATAATCATATATTTAAATATGTTATACAAAATACAATTTCAGACTTTTTAGGATCAAAGCATAAACAGTTTCTATTGGGCCATGTTTACTAAACAAACAAGGACGTGATACGTGCCACGTGGTATGGTTATTCGAGCTTAAAAGAATTTAAGAATATTACAATGATTATGTTTATGAAGACAATTAACTATAAAAGTACCTAAACTATAAGTTTTACCTAACCAATAATGCTTAAAGATAAGAAATTAGTATAATACCTATATAATAATATATGTAAGTATGTAAGTAATAAATATGTAACTATATACAATCAAAGATGAATGTTTTACCCGAAGTTGGGCTTAACCAATTCGCTGGACACCTATAATAATAGCTATGCTTACACGCAGGCAATTATTAAAATGCGCAGTTGTGCAGATGTTTATTCAGATAAGGTTGATTACACTGGAGAAATAAAATCGATTCTAAGCTTCACACTAGATTCTTATGCAGAGAACTAATGAATAATAAAGGTGAGTTTGTACATACTATCATTCAGACGAATAGTTCGAGTGAATGCGTAATCCTCTGAAAACGGGTGAAACAAGTCTCGTTCAGCTGGAGTTAAGCAAAATTTGTTTCACCGCTGCTGTATAACATTATATTACACGTTTCATATTATAATAATATGAGCATTACAAATACACAAATGGTGAGGTAGGTAGTAGATGAAGATTTTTACCGGAATTACGTCGCGCTGCACATTACACTTTTACGAATACGCACTCGTAGACACGAAAAACGAAAATGTTTCGGTCATAAATTGTACGGTGGAGACCATGACGACGGTTTCATAAGACTTATCGAAAGTAAATATCAAGTAACATAAAGTTAGATTACACTGATGAAAGTTTTATCTATAAGCCCGCTGAACAGTATATTCGTAGCGAAGTTTAAAAGCGGGTTTCCATTTCCACGTTCATGTGTAAGTAAAAAATTTATCATAACAATGACATTTTCCGTTAGTCCGTTTTTGCTTTGTCATTCATAGCGAGTAAATAAATATTTATTTATTTAGTACCACAAAATGTTGATAAAACAATCTACATAGTCTAATAGTGTTACCACACTACTATTTTTTTTAGAATTATACATTCCAAGCAACTAATCAAGGTAGAGTGCATATCAGCCACTTAAAATTATATTTTATTTACAGAATAACGAAAATTTCAAATTTTAAAAGCATCTGCGTACTTACTTAAAATATGTTACATATTTACGCATGTTTGTAGATAATCACTAGCCAGCACTACAATTTCAATGTTAAAGGTTCACATCCGATACTAAAATATTTTTAAAAATCATTTGCTTTGTCGACAGTGTATGAAGAAAATTAAACTTTTAGTTGAAAATTAATATTATGTTTATATCTATTCTAAAATCATGCGGCTAATTTATGAGGTTAACGTACTTTCAGCATGACACGTGGACACATAGAAGAATAGTGACGAGGGACGACAAAATTTTCTTTAAGCTGACACATGAACAATAAACAATTTCAAGGTTACCGTACGCGAACGTTAATAATATGGACCGCAAATCAGAATAATTGATAGTCGAATAATTTATACCACGGTTAAGGTGACTACCATTAATCAGTAATTGGTAAATGATTTACATTACTCGCGAGCACACCTATAAAGAGCGATATTTTTAATTGGTCAGTTTTGAAGAAAACGATGCCCCATGTACTCTGACTGTCAGCTGCAGCCCCCCATAATCTTGATAAGACGGATCTCAGCTTTTCACGGCTCTCATATTATAAAAAAAAAAAATCAATATTTGTCAAATATATACCTCAAAATACTAAAATACTAATTTTATTTATAACAAATGAATTGAGAAAAGTGTAAACATATCATAGATATAGTATTATGTATATACTATAGCATAAATAGATAAATAGATTTTGAAAATCAGAGTAGTAAAATAGTCAAATTACATATAAATTGCATATATTAAATTACATCAGCATTATTAAGTTATTATCATTGAGGTCGTCAACGATATTCGATACGTTTCGATGAGAATAAGGATACAAATGTGTCAAAACACTCAAAAATCAAAATAATCACATTAAAGGTGTTTTAGATTTCAACAACAATAACACTAATTGTGTGTACTACCATCAAAAATTATATAAAATTGCATATCTTGATAGAAAAGTACCGATCTAGTGCTATAACTATGTGTGGTTTTTTTTTTATTTAATTAATACGTTTGTAAAAATATAGTTCAGCGTTTGTGTTTTATTAATTTAAATAATAATATTTTAATAACAAGGGATTAGGAACGTACAAATAATAAATAATAAATAATTAAATATTTAAAAAAATAACGTTAGTATCGTAACTAAAGGGGATCTAAAGGTACGAGCGCAACTGAGCTCGTTCATTTAGAGAGCCCAAAATAATACAATATTTTTCTTTAAATAATTTATAACAAACTATTTAACTAAAAATTTTTTTTTTAATTATTCCAAATTATTATATTATAACTTATAATTATATGGGTAATATGTTTTTACAGTTTAATTTAATTAATTTATATTTTATACACTTAATAAAATCGATTATAAATATTTAATATTATATATTATAAATTATAATCAATATTATAAAATATAAATTAATTAAATTTAGCATAAAAATAGATTTAATACCTAGTTGATTCAAAACAAATCTCATAAATGTATTGACATTTGACATAATGCATATTTTTAGAAAGGTAAAATTATTGTCCATTGTTAATATACAGTACACTCTGACAATTTACACAGCACATTTTTGCCCAAAATTGTATCGTAATAATTGATCATTCATGTACAAGTATAATGAAAACCTTTCATAAGATTGCATAAATTAATAATTATAATATAATATTTAATATTTTTCTTAAAAAAAAATAAAAACACATAACAACTGGATGAGGTGAATACATTATGAGTATATCCCTCTACGTAATAATTTTTTATAACGATAACTTTGCTTTTGAATAAGAAAAACGTATAGCACGCCACATTTACCACATCTGTCAGATTTCGTTACGTTGACAAAAAGAAGGTGTTTTACGTACTATGTGTCATCAAGAGATTATAACAGGGGTTCTTAACATTTTTAGTATTATATACTCTTTTGCAAAGTAAAATATAACAACCGATCAATCGATCCCCTTCACAAAAATAAAAATATTTTTTATTTTAACTGTAATTTAATATTGTAATGCTAATTTAAAAAAAAAGTATTATTGTTATGTTGTAAATCATAATAATATTATAGGTACATAACACTTTTTTATAAAATAAAATACACTAAAACAACAATAAAAATTAAAATTAAATCTTTTCTGTGAACTACTACGTAACTATTTATATATAGACACCCTAGGGCCAGGGGTTCATGGATCATCAGTAAAAATTCACCAGTTCTCAGGTTAGAAGATATCATTTCTCCAGCCACGTGTATTGTCTCCAACTTACATTTGTAAGCAATTTGTCATTTTGTACAACGTACATACAACATGGCAATTTTGAGTTGAGCGGAACAGATTCTACGTTGTTAACTTTAACATTAGAGTGAATTGACCTATTATCAAACTTTCAGGTAAGAACCTTATTTATATTCGTACATCTGTTTTCCCCGACATATAAATTTTTAAGTTAATTATGCGTACCTATATAAAATATTCAAATTTTAAATTATTCATAACTCGGTTAAAAATCAAAATATTATAAAAAAAAACAATCATTCAAACATAGATAAAACGTTTTTTCTTTAAATGTTGATTATAGTTCAATCCACTTTCATATTAAAGCTAACAACACAAAATTGAATCTTCTCAACGCAAATTTGCGTATGGTAAGATGGAAACAACACATGCAAGTGTGATATCCTCTTAGGAAAGATATCGCAACTTTCACGGAAAGCACTCGTTACACGATTGTGGTTAATTATATGAATAATAACATTTTATAGAATGATAAATAAACTTTAATCTCGTCTATCGTTTAGTGGGACTTGTTAATAATGTAATACTTGTTGAAACTTTGAATATAAACATTATTTTCCGGTTATAAATCAAGATGGATTCGTGCATGGTCTAAGATAATAAGCATATATCACAGCACTCATTCCGGACTTATTCTTAAAATGTTCACAAGTACATTTTTTTTGTTTCCAAGTTATGACTTATTAAAATATTATAAACCTCCATGAATGTTATTTCACAGTTCATATATCCATTTGAAATTCTTTTGAAATTTAGATATTTGCCCTTTGTTAAGTTTTTGTACCTCCGGACAGCTGATAGGCGTTCTCGGGTAGGACTGTTTGGGGGGGGGCACATATTATAAACGAACTCGTGCAATAGTATTATTATAATGTACCTGGAAAGTAATAGTGCAGGTATGGGATGAAGTACACTACTTTCGCCGTGTACACTATGCGTACACTTCGTTCAGCCAAATGAGCTTAACCCGCGAATGAAATATCCTATATATGTCTGCGACTATACACTAACAGGTATACGACGGCCGCTGCGGGAAAACCGTCTCGATCCAACGTTACCGCGGTGGAAAACGATACGAATCGTACAAAACGCAGAACGTTCCGCAGTACTCCGCCTCTATGTCATAATAATATTACATCAATATCCGTTATACACACAGCAGTAATAGTGTAACAGCACGACAATCCGTCTGTCGGCCGGAAACACTGTTTCAGTATGGCTGGCTAGTGCGTGGGCACAATATAATATGAAACACGGCCGTTAAAACAAATGAATAATAATAATAATAATTTGAAACGTCGTCGATCGAGTAAAAAACGTTCTCGGTTCGCGGGGCTCTCGTCGTCAGCACGTGAACGCCCCAGTGACCAGCGACCGCGGTTGGACGTGTACTACCGACCGAACGCCGGAACGCGCACACTTTGTCCAGCCCTATCGGCGGCAGCCGTGGCGGTGGTGCTGCGAACGCCGGTGGTGCAGGAGAAGAGACCTTGAACCGGCCGACCGGTTCGGCCGTTGTACAAACACTATTCTTCCGATACAGTCGGGACGGTGCACGGCACGGCACGCACTGCGCGTTTGCATTGTAACGACGACGACGCTGTATACGTTGTACAATGGAAATCCGTCCGCCGTCACTCGTTCACTCGTTCGTTCGACGGCGGTGCGGCGTCGGTCGTCCGCCGAACCCGTTCGCCGTCGTCGGTCGTCCGACGCGAACGCCTAGGCCAGTGGTCGGCAATAGGCGGCCCGCGAAGGAAAAATAATTGGACCACAAAAAATATATTTTTTAATAATTCTGGTTTTCCATACACATAATATATATTTTATCTATTTTTATGATGTGTTTAGAGATTACGATGGTGTTTATCGTTTATTGCTTTTTACAATAATATAGTTGCGATAACACAACAATTATTAGCTAATAATATCTGAGTTTTTAGTTTTTACTGGCCCTCGTAATTTTTTTTTTTTTTTTTTTGATTTTCTGGATCTCCATAGAATTTAATTGCCGACCCCTGGCCTAGGCCATACGTAATATCGTTATTACATTATCCTCGTCGGTTGTACGACTGTTGGGCGGCGGCGGCGGCGGGTCGCGGTAGTGGTTACCGGTTGAACGGCGGTGTTGGCGGTGAGGAGGGGGTCACGCTGTGCGGACGCGTAACGTATTGTCATCGGTGGACCTGCAGAATCGGCTCCGATGACGCGTTCTGCAGTGAACGTCAGATACCTACGTTACGCACGCGAGTCGGCCCATAACAATGAGCGCTCAAACCTGGACCCACGAGTAGCGCGTTTTTCAGATTATCGAGACGATTTTTTTTGATTTTTTTTTTTTTTTTGTACTGCTTTAAAGCGATGTCTTGTGGAGATTCAGACATCCGCGATTTTCAAACAAAGACCACCCCTCCCCCTTCCGCTTTTCTATTGTAAATTATTCGGCGCGTCATTTTTTTTTTCCGAAAATGTCGACGTGTCGAAGTAAAAATGCGAACGAACGATGTTTAAGTTTTATTCACTATTTGTGCAGCACAATATTGGTCCACGACAATGGGTTTGGAAAACGCTGGGACTTTGGCGATTTAAAAGTTTCAGTAATTAATATGAATCCATCGACGTTATTTGTGATTTATAAGAATGGTCCAAGCGTATAATAAATATTTAATCCAATATTACATTTGTTTTATATTTTGTATACCTTAATATACAAATATTATAATCATTGAGAGATAATCGTTCAAACTTTGAATTAATTAAATAAAAATAGTATTTTTAAATACATTTTCCACTAAATGATTTACAGTAAAAAGAGAGGGTTCTCATTTTAAAAACAGAAGTTTGTATCACAACAGAATCCTTCTTAAGTAGTATAAAAAATCACGAGAATTTGATGTTTAAGTAAATTTCAAAATTTCAAAAATTAGTATTAGTTGTTAATTTATTGTTAAAGGAAAAAATAAAGATAGACATGATTGATGAATCCACTCCCCCCCTGTATAGCTGTCGTTAATCGTTAAATCGTATGTATATATTTGTATATATTTGTATAGGTGCGTATATCGTATATCGGATTTTATACAGGTTAAACAAATTGTATTTAGGTTGGGTAAACTTTTTTCGAGATAACTACGCTGCATGATGCACGACACCAATATATATAATCATTGTTTATCTATAAGTTATAAAAATTTACCATCTAAAGAAATCCAATGAACCATGTGAGCATATAAAAGAAAACAACATTATATTTACAACTGAAATATTTTTGTCAAGTAAAAAAAAAGTACGAGTATGAAAAACATACAACTTTAATTTGCAAGGACCTTTACCGCTCTATTTTAAGGTTATGCATTTTTTATAATTTTCGCATTAAAATATACTGCTTACCGAGCATATATTACAGCAAAATTAGTCATTTTTATTTGTCATATTGGATAGAAAACATTTTAAGCGTGCATGTTATATCTTGAGATTTTATATTAGTATATTATTATAATAAAGGATAAACTAAAGAGACGAAAATATAGAATAGTATGAGAATACTGAACTAGCGTCCTCTTAAACGTACCATGCAAGATTATACTTATTATTATTAGCGAATGTTTTTGTAAATAACCATAATGGAATCGCGCACTGTCTTGCGTACCAAGTGTTCAGCGCAATCTGTGAGATCATAATAATTGTAGTTGTAATGTAACGATATTAATATATTATAATATCTAATAAAATAAAAAATAAACAATATAATATCTAAAATAACATTAAATAAGTTATTATTAATTATTGTAAACATTTATAGACGATGTACTTAGTTATATACCAGTCGTACTATAGTGCAGTAGTGCATTATGATATTTTGTCTGTCGCATGTAGATTGTAGGTACTAGATACATCAACGAAATTAACATATAATATATTATATTGTACATATATTGTATGTTTGATTCGTATACGTTTTCGTGACTGTAAAATGTATAATATAAAATTAGATGGTGTGGTCATTTTGTGCCAGAAGAGTTCATTATCCTTAGCGTTGGATTCGTAAGAAGAATACTGGTCACGATAGTCATTGTACAATGTACCTTTATGGCTTTATAGTACTTAATATTGTATTAACATATAATATTAGAAATGTATATGTTTGAGAAAACCATTAAGAACTTATGATAAATGACAACAATAATACTTTTAAAGCATACATTAGTATACATTTTTATATTACCAGTTATTTACATATTGGAAACAGGACATTTTCATTAAATTACTGAAACACCAGATAAAACCAAAAGCGCAACTACATAAAACTTGTAATTCTCTTTAATGTATTCGAAATAATTTTCATTGCATAATATTTTAAAATATTATACTTATTAGTTATTTACATATTAATATTTAATTAAGCATAGTGTGACACTGTGCAGGATCAGCTAATTTTATGTGTTCAAAAGACTAAAATATTATTTTTAATATCTGTAGATTTGTATGTTCTTACATTATATTATATTTATAAGAACAAATCATAATATTGTATCTACGCTTGTGGTTTATTTTAAATGAATGTACCAGCTATAAAATGTTATAAGTATTCTTCACATCTACAATTAAATATACACAAAAGATACGTACCTAGCATTATAAAACAAATAAAGACTTTAAACTAAAAATGTTATTGGTCATGAAACGACCTCAAAATCGAAAGACAGACATCAATGATCGATTTTAATTTACAAAGTATTTAACCACAATGTCCATTAACTTCTCAGAAATATCTTTTATACAAAAATGTATGCATATACATTACGAAATATGTATGCACTCATAATTATCATAAATTCATATTAAAATAATACATTACAATTATAAAATACACATATTATGTAAAATATGTATCATCGTATCCGTATGTAATAATAATTTTATAATATTACATAATCTATAAAGCGTAAAATATTGGATCATAATGTTCTCGAATGTTTTTCTTTGTAATTTGTGGTGGTTAGCTGAATAATAATCAGTCGTTTTTGACACGTACGTTTTTCCATACCAAAAACCACGTTCCTCGCAAGTATAATAATTATATATTTTGTGAAATAAAAATATTATTTTTTATAATATCTCTTCCTGTCCATGTACGTGTATACTCTGTTATTGGCTGGTAATTTTTTTGTTTTGCAAGTGGTTATTAGTATGTACTTTATACTATAATTTATACATATGACTTATATCTAATAACGTATAACGATATCTGTGGTACTTACCTTTTTTTTAGTTTTTTTTTTTTTTATAATCAAATTTTCAGCAATACGTCAATTATATACATAAAGAATCCAACGATTTTCTTGCCATCATCAACGTCGTTATAGTGTTGTTGCTAAGAACGCTCGTTCCCGCCATATACCTAACCTATACACTATCGATATTTATTAACGAAGCACGTCTTGGAATTCAAAAATGGATCATATTTTAACATTACAATATTCCGTCTGAGCTGAAATTGCAGAATAATTTGCACATACATTTTTCTATAGGTACCATTCTACTTTTACTAATTAGTATAATTTTAGTAGATATTTTAGTCTATTTGAAATTATACTTAATCCTATCACCTAATAGGCTTTGTATTAAGGCAATTCATCGTCCACATCATTCCTTTCGGACAAACAATATCTACGCATGATCTCGTTCCGGAAATATACAATAGAAACACTCTGTCATGCTTCCGCAATTCTCATATCTACGTTTATAATTAAGGCTGAAAATCCAGTAACCACGATGATATTTACTGACACGGATCTCTGTTTATCTGCAGCACTTAATAGTCTCAACTATGCTGTTTCTATGATCTTGTACCTGAAAGAGAAAATACGCAATTTAAATCGAATAGTATAGAGAAAACTAACAGCTTTAAAAAACATAAATATAATGTAAAAATAAATATTTTTAGTGTAGTTTTGACCAAATATTATAATTATAAAACGTGGAACCATCATATAAATGTATCACTAAAAATTACTGTTAATTGTTGTGGGCTAATGATTGGGTTCCAATTCTAGTATAATTTATCAGTTTTTATGTTTTTAAAAATATTTTATCATATTATACAATATTCTATAGATTTTGAAATATGGTATTTAAACTGAGTGTCTATGCATTTATAATATACAATTATCATTTACGCAGTTATTCAAAATCAGAATTTAATAATAGTGGAATAAAATACCGAAAATGAAATTCAATACACGGTAACAGCTGCAGTAATAAAAAGTCTAATCCTCTATGATCAAAAATAAATAATAATAGAAGCGAGTTCAATTTATACAACAATTAAGTATTTTACTCTTATCGTTTGTAACGTCTTTTGTTACCATTATAGAGATCTAATATTGTTTTAATATTTTAAATTTTGATACAATCACATAATATCAATACACCTTATGTTACTACTTAAAACTCTGAGTACTCACATCAGTTTTATAGCGCTGTTACTTTAAGTGTGTATTGATGAATGATGGTAGTTCTTCGTA